ATGATGATGATGATGATGATGATGATGATGATGATGATGATGATGATGATGGTGATGGCGATGGTGATGGCGATGGTGATTGTGACGGTGATGGTGATGATGTGGTAATGGTGATGATGATGACAAGGAGGAAGAGGAGGACGACGACAATGAGAGAGACGATGCGGAGGGCAGAGGCAGAGATGGGAGGGGGAGGAGGAAGGAAGGAGGAAGGGAGGAAGCGGCGCTGCTGATTCAAAGCGAGGACCCCACCGTCGCAGAATGGCTTGGAAACAAACCTTCGAAGGTCCCCACGGATCTCTTGGATCGGCGCTGGACTCCCCGGGCGGCGCCTCTGGCGTGGCCCCTGCCTCGCGGACCGCGCCAGGGGAGGGAGGCCTCTCCGCCGAGACCTCCGAAAGATTGTGCCTGTGACGGCAGTGAGGAGGCGGTGCAGGGGAGGAGGGAGGAGGAGGAGTCGGAGGAGGAGGAGGAGGAGGAGGAGGAAGAGGAAGAGGATGAGAAAGAGGCGGAGCCGGAGAAGGAGAGAGGACCTCTACCGGGATCGCGCTCTGACCCCGAAGAAGCATGTGCGCAAACATGGACTTCGGAGGACCGCACGGACCTCAGAAATGCATGTGTATGCAGCCGTGGCGACGAGGGCAGCCCAGGAGGCCCAGCAAGGCGAGGACGAAGGAGGGGAATTGGTATCGGTAAGCATCCCTCATCTGACTCCGGCCTCACAGTTCGTACACAACCTGGCCTCCTGCCTCGGAGATCAGACATACGCTGGCAGAATGGCACTCTCGTGCCGCGGAGCAGAGATCCAGCTCCGGATGTGGTTCAGCTCGGTGAGCCTTGCACTTACCACTGAAGGCGGGTCGCTGGGATTGCTGAAAAATAAGTCTAAGTGATGCGCACCCTCAGGAATTATGACTGCCACCGCAGACTCCGAGATATTGTGAACCACTCCGCCGCTGCTCCAGGGATCGAACAAGCCATTGCTGAACACAATGTTGGTGGCGCCATCTAATGCTCCAAATTCACGGGCAATCCACGTTTCCCGTGGCTCGACACCGAACGTCGCGTTGCAATGACGCCGGACGTCTGTCAGGTTTTCGGCAAATCGCCAGAACATGTCAGTGGTTCCATCTCTCGAGAAATAGGTCTCTTGAGGAAGCATCTCAGTGCACCACTGATAATCCCATATGCCATCAAAGTTGGGGTCGCTGGGGAGCTCATAGCACTGAACCTTGCTCGCATTGTAGAGCACCCCAGATGCCTCACGCACTCCAGCCAAGAGATCGTCCTCGTTGGAGAAGTCCCCGACCAAATGCTGGCACGCGACACGCACGGGATAAGCCGGCAGCAGGGTTGAGGGGTCCTGAGTTGCCTGGAAGATCAGGTAATTGGACGGATATGGGAAATTTCCCATGGCCATCGTGTCCCATGCGTTCAAGTGCATCAGGGCCAAATTCGTGACGTCCTGTGCTGTCTTCAGGGGCTCGTCCCCACAGAGCCTGAAGATGGCCGCAAGCTTCCGCCTGCCCGCCGCGGTCTTGCCCAAATCGAAGAGGTGCTGCCAACTGCGCCTCACATTTGCCGCGCAGCTCGGAACCGAGCCCCCCGCTTCCGTGGCGTCGCGGGTCACGACGTCCCAGTACGCCTCTCCACTGCCAAAGGGACGGCCGCCCTTCCCGAGGTGCCCATCCTGCCCGCGAAACGCCAAGACGGGTGCAGATCCGGCAATGGCACCGTCAACTGCGTTTGGGTACTTCACACGCAGCCAAGCGGCCAGCATCCCACCGTACGACCCGCCAAAGGCGATCACGCGGCTCTCTTGTGAGTCCAGCTCAGACTTGAAATCATATATGAACGACGCGTAGTCCGCCAGGGCCTGCTCCATGGTCAGATATTGGAGGTATTTCATCAGGTTCTCCCCAAAAGGCTTACTATCACCGTAATACCTGTGTTCGACCCAAACTAATGCGGCCCCGAACTCTTCTGCATTTTCCCACATCAAACCAGTAGAATTGACGTACATTTCAACGTTGGCTTCGTTCCCCGTGTAGAGAAAGATGGGACCACCCGTTTTCCAGTGCTGCCGGTTCACCATGTATCTCTGTTGGAAGGTGCGTTCACCCGTTGGGGTGGGCGCCCATGAGAAGTGGTCGATCGTCTGCGTGTACCAATACCGAGTGACATTGGGCAGCCCTGGATGGCCCTGCCGAGACAAGTCCACAGCACCGATGCGAGGCATGAGACCGACTGTGCGACCAATGCCATAACTTCTGGCAGCATCTTCCGTACCGAGGAGCGCCAGAGTTGCGATCTTCAGGGTGAGGACCATTGCTCACGTGCCGAGCATCATCCACTCGAGGCTCGATGGATCTCTCGAGCCAAACGGTTACGGACGGAGGATAACAAAGAGAAAGAGAAAGAAGAAAAAGAAGAAGAAGAAGAAGAAGAAGAATAAGAAAGGGAAGGAAAAGGGAAACATGTGAAAGCCTCTGACAAACCGCCCCCGCTGGGAACGTGCTTGGCTGCTTTGTGTGGCGCTTCCCTGCGGCTTCTGGAGCGCCTTTGGGTCCTCCCATCCTTCCTCCTCCCCTCGTGGCCGGCCTTCTCTGCCGGCCCTCGCATCATGCATAGGCGCCGTTCGCGCCGCTGCGTCCCATGCGCTGCTGACGGCTGGGAGCCTTTCCGCGCCGGCTGGCAAAAAGAATGTGCTGTGCGTGAGAAAACCTCCGCGTCCTCTGCCTCACACCACTTGGTCGGAGGCCCCGTTCCAAGTCGATATTCTTCCTTGGGCGTCTCACCTCCCCCTGCCCCTGGTGCGACGCCACCTACATATCCCGCATGTCTGAGCACACGCTCTGGTTGTGCATGCCTCCGTTGTTCCTGGCCTCTGTTTGCCCTCCTGCTCGCTTGGCTGGCCCTTTCCTGCGTCTCCCACCGATTTGCACGCGCTCGTGGCATTCACAGCGCCAGAGGAGAAAAAAGTAAGCGAATATGAGCGCAAGAGCACTTAGCAGAGAAACTGAAGAAACATTGACTGTCGGAGGTCCGCGCGGAGTTCTTGGATCGGCGCTGGGTCCCCCTCCCTCGCACGCAAAGCGCGCAAGGTTTTGACCTCAGACACCTGCAACAACTTCAGGAAAAAACATGTGTTTGGCCTCCTGAAGCCCTGTGGGGGGATTCTCTTGAAGGCCTCTTGGGCTTTCTTGGAGTCCTCCTGGACAATCTTCAGGCCATCGAAGGCCATCGTGGAACGCTCTCGGGCGGCCTTGGGCATTCTTTCTTAGAGCGCTCTCGAGCCATCTCGGAGCCGTCGTGGACCTCTCTAGGGCCACCTTGGGGATATCGGAGGGCGTCTTGGGCGCCTCTTGGGCCGCCTTGCCCCCCCAGGGGCATTTAGACAAAATTGTTCGCGCTACGCGCCTTCCCTGGAACCCCTCCCTGGAGGGCTTCGCCCCACCTATGACTCATACCTTGCTCTTTTCGTCATCCGCCGCCAACTATGGCTTGCCACAGGGGGTGCACGGCGTGCCGAACGTTTGGCAGGTTTCTTGTTGTTCTTTAAAAAAGCTCCCTGTGGGGCTTCGGTCCTGGGGACAATGTTTCATTATTATTTTGATCATTTTGGAATATCGTTTGACTGTCTTTTATTCCCTACCTAGGCTCTGCCTGGAGGGTTCTTACTCTCTTAGCTTAAAGGGGCCGGGCAGTGCTACACGCCCAGGGCGGTTCCCCCGGTCCCCGCCCCGCGGTTCCCCCAGTCCCCTGGGAGCTTTAGCTTTAGCTTTAGCTTAGCTTTAGCTTTAGCTTTAGCTTAGCTTTAGCTTAGCTTTCGCTTAGCTTTAGTTTAGTTGTAGCTTAACTGTAGCTTAGCTTTAGCTTAGCTTTAGCTTAGTTTTAGCTTAGCTTTAGCTTAGCTTTAGTTTAGCGTTGGCTTAGCTTTAGCTTAGCTTTAGTATAGCGTTGGCTTAGCTTTAGCTTAGCTTCAGCTTAGCGTTAGCTTAGCGTTAGCTTAGCTTTAGCTTAGCTTTAGCTTAGCCTCAGCTTAGTTTTAGCTTTAGCTTTAGCTTTAGCTTTAGCTTAGCTTTAGCTTAGCTTTAGCTTAGCTGCAGCTCAGCTGTAGCTCAGCTTTAGCTCAGCTTTAGCTTAGCTTTAGCTTAGCTTTAGCTTAAATTTAGCTTAGCTTTAGCTTAGCTTTAGCTTAGCTTTAGCTTAGATTTCGCTTAGCTTTAGCTTAGCTGTAGCTTAGCTGTAGCTTAGCTTTAGCTTAGCTTTACTGTTACTACTAATGCTGCTTTCCTAGGGGCTCCAACTCCTAGGTAGGGTCGCACTGGGATAATTTGTCTTCCAAAATCGGCCTGCAGGGGGACAGGCCCGACCTAAACATAGCCCCAAGATGACCTCCAAGACGGTCCCAAAATGCCTCCAAGACAGCCAAGGATGGCCCAAGAGAGCCCAAGAAGCGCCCAAGAGGCCCACAAGCAAGAGGTCCTCCAGGAGGCCCGAAGAGGTCAAGTTCAGTGATTTCGCTTCGCTTCGCGGAAGATGGTGCGGCTTGTGCTTCAAAACGGTTTTTCGACGGCCCAAGACGGCCCAAAATGCCCCCAAGATTGCCCCAAGATCGCCCAAGAGGCCTAGAAGATGGCCCCAGGACGGCCCAAAAGGCTCCCAATGCGGCCCTCATAAGGCCGCAAGACGGCCCCCAAGAGGCCTCCAAGACGCCCAAATATGACCGTCAAGACGACCCTGAAGCGCCCGAAAATGGCCCCAAGACGGCCCCTAGAGGCTCCTCCCAAGAGGGCTTCCGACGACGTCAGACGGGCCAGGGACGCCGTAAGACAGCCAAAGAGGCCCCCAAGAAGCCCCCAACGACCCCCAAGAGGCCCAAGGAGGCCCACAAGAGGCCTCCAAGACGCCCCCAGGAAGCTCCCAGGAGGCCCCAAGAATGACCCAAGAAGCTCCCAAGAGGTCTCATCATCCTTCTCCTCCTCCTCCATTTCCTCCCTCTCCTCATCCTCCATTTCCTCCCCCACGTGGTCCCCGAAGGGCTTCCACAACGGTTGGGGGAAGGCATGGTCCAACAGCATGGCCTAACTTTGCCCCAGCATTTGGCCACATAGGCGTATCCTAAAAGGCAGAGGGGGGCGGTGATCCACCGTAGGCGTCTTCGATACATACATACATATACATATACATATATACATATATATATATATATATATATATATATGTGTGCGCAGATGTGCGTATGTGTATGTATGTATATGTAAACATAAAAGTGTGTGTATAGACAGATTTGAATATACATATATATATATATAAATGTATACATACATACATATCTATATCTATATATATATATATCTATATCTATATATTTGTTGTACACACACACTCCTGTCCAAGGAAGAGAATGAGAAAAAGAAAATGATAACCGGTGCCGATGCCGTGTGGTCCTGTTACTGCACCGGTACCTGTACCGCGTGGTCCAGCTGCTGTACCGGCCCTACTGGAACTGGCGGTAGCACCAGGACCAAGCTAATCGTGACTGTACTGCGGGCTCCTACTGTACCGTGCCGTACAGTACCTTGCCGTGGCCATGATGGATATGAGCCTGCGGCTGGGGTCGCTTCCTGACCCGACCTTGGGCCAAGTCCCCCTCCCAGCGAACCCCTGGCGGGACGCAGTTGATGATGTGGACACTCTCGGCCTGTAGGGGGAGCCCACGACATCCATGTGCACTGCCGCACGTCTTCGTGTTCGTATTGTTCTTCTTCTGAGTATTAGTAGTATTCGTCTTCTTAGCCTTCTTCTTGTTGGGAGTTTCTGATTCGTCTGAGTCACAGTATTACTCGTCTTGTTCAATGTATTATTCTTGGTCGTCTTCTTATGAAGGGAAACTGGGACACACAAACAAACACACACACACACACACACACACACACACACAAATAACCAGATTCCCCATAGTGTCCCATATTTTCTGGGTTTTTCGTCTCCCCCCCCCCCCACACTTCCCATGTGTTCCCATATTTTCCGGGGAATCGACGACTAATTGTGTCTCTGTGTGTGTGTGTGTTTTTCCCCTCCTGATCTTAGTAGGGTTACAATACGGCATCGGCATCGGAGGGCGACACGGTGGGGGGCAGCCAGGCGGCACGGAGGGGGTCGGGGCGAGGGGGGCCGCCTCCCGAGGAGGAGGGGCGGCCTCTCGGGCAGAGCCCCAGAGGCTCAGGTCTGGCAAGCCCTCCTGGAGGCAGACGTTGGACGAAGATAGGAATCGGCGGTGGACAAACCTCTCTTTGGTAAACCTCCCCTTAGTGAAAACGGCCTAGGACCGAAACCGACGGACCTGGGCCCGCAAAAAAGACGGCCGCGACGCCCTCTCGCGAACCGAAAACGGCCAATTCCTCAATCGACGTGTCAGGGTAGGAGGTATGTCCACCTCCGAAGGAAATGGTCACAAAATATTCCAAGATAGTTGAAAATGGTCGAGAAGTCGTCCCCACATTAGTTTGTCGCTATGTTTGGATATCCCTCCTGTAGGGGGACATGCCCGACTTAACCCTAGGCTTCTCATGCTCGAAGAACACGTCCATATCCATGGCCTCGCGGCGGTCCAGATAGCGACGCGCGATCCCATGGACGCGTTCTGCAGGGGGCATCCGAGAAGGCCGCCTTGCATCCCTTACCTTGACTCCTCCTCCTCCTCCTCCTCCTCCTCCTCCTCCGCCTCCTCCTCCTCCTCCTCCTCCTCCGCCTCCTCCTCCTCCTCCTCCTCCTCCTCATACTCCTCCTCCTCCTCCCATAATTGGGGTCGCGGCCCACGAGTCCAGACTGCGAGGCGGTGGACATGGAAACGTTTCCCACGCACGGGCTTACCGAGAAGGCCTCTCCTCGGGAGGCAGGGGGGGGGCTTCTGAGAGGCACCCCGACCCTCTTGAAAGCCACCCGATCGCACCTCACACAACCAAAACCCGCTCAGAGCGGGTCCCCGTAGCCTGAGATCCGACGTGGCGAAAAAAAAGCACAACATCGCGGAAAATCACGACCAGCGCCTTAGACCCCATCTTGCTGCGACATGATTTGAGCCAAGTGGATCTGTAATGGCCCCGGGGCCCGAGACGCAGTGCGCAAAAATTGCAGCGTCCAGACCTCAGAGCAACCCCTTCCCAGGGTCCATCCTGATCAGTTTTCCAAGCCGCGTCCAGCCGTGGCGACGAGAGCCTACAGAAGCGCCCGAGCACCCACGAAAACGACGTCGCCGACGCCCCCCTTCTGCAGGCCTCCCAGGGGCGGCGGCGCGCTTGCTGCTGCCGCCAGACTCGGACTCAATCGACAGGTTCATGGAATCGATGGCGTTGGTGACCTGCGGAGGAGGGAGGGGTGGGCGGGCGAGTAGGGGGGGCAGGGAAGGGAGAGGGAGAGGGGGAGAGAGGGCAAGCTAGGTGCGCTCGCGTCACATCTGACATCCTACCCCTCTCACTTATCCATTCCATTGCGCTGATTTGTTTCCTTCCGCCCACGGGTCAGGAGCGAGAGAGAGGGGGGGAATATTGTATACGAATAGCGGCCGCTGTGCTGTCGATCGAGAGTTTGTGAATATAGTCCACCCCTGTGTCCCGATCTCCCCCTCCCCCGCGCGCCTCTTCCGCCGTCCCCCCCATTCCCTCCATTTACACTTCCCTGGCCCCCCCTCCCCTCACCCCCTCCTCTCCCACCCCACCTTCAGGCCTATCTGGGGGCCGTCCCAGGAAACCGACTCCATGAGGACGCCCCAAGCGAAACGGCCAGCTTGGAATTCTCCAAGCGCGTCCCGCTCGACCCTGCTTCTGCTTTCTTAGGTGAGTCGCGCACCATTGGTCACGATGACGTGGGCCCAGACACACGACGATGTGGATTTCCCGATCCGCGGCCCAATGAGAAGATCCCAACCCCTTCCCCCCTGGAAGTCGGTTTCGGTCCCGGATCACTGTTTGATGGCCCCAGGGCCCGAAAACGGCGCCTGGACATCGAAATCAACGAAAAACGCAGCGATCTAGAAAAGGCATCGTCGGGCGCCAGTAGTCCACAAGACGAATCCATCAAAACGTATCGGGTCGGCCGCAAGTAACGGGCGTTACGTCCCGAACACCCTCTTCCTCCCATGGCCTGGAGCGCATGGAGGCCGCCAGTTCAGCACACTGCGGGAAAGGGAGAGGGCGGGGAGGAGGAAGAGAGAGAAAAAGAGAAAGAGAGAGAGAGAGAAATATATATATATATATATATACAAATATACATATATAGCGAGAGGGGAGACTGCAGAAAGGCCCGAAACAAGAAAACAAGAAAACAATCAAATATGTGGGTAATGGTGCAAGCGCTGCTGGAGGAGGTGACGGAGGAGCAGGCGCCGACCACAACGATGTTCTGTGCTTTCCTTCGTTCCGCTTCGAGACGGGAAACTAGCCCGAGCGATTCCCCAAAGCAGCGCTCTCATGCGCATCTTGGAGCCGTGATCGGAGCTCCCGAATGGCCTCCCAGGAACGAACGCATAACGAGAGCGGGATCCCACCAAGAACTGCTCACGAGGTCGCCCCGAAACTAGGTTCTGGTCGAGCCCCCCCTGCGGAGGAGGGTGGAGGAGGAGGGAGCGGGGAGCAGGGAGCAGGTGAGATCAGACGCTGTGGAGGCGCGAGCGCGAGCGCGAGGAGGAAAACCTGCATGAGCATGAACTTTCAGAGGTCCGCACAGATTTCTGGGATCGGCGCTGGACGTCCCCCACCCTGCGCGCGGAGCGCGCCAGGGGCGGCGCCGGAGGCGCCGCCACGAGGCTCCAGCGCAGATCCAGGAAATCCGTACGGACCTCCGAAACTTTTTCTGTTCGCGCAGGCTCTCCTTCTTCGAGTGGAGGTGCGAGGGCGGGCGCAAGGAGGAGGAGGAGGAGGAGGAGGAGGAGGAGCAGGAGTAGGAGGAGCAGGAGGAAAAGCAGGAGGAGGAGGAGATCGCCGAAAAGCGTCGACGACAGGCTGTGTCCGAAGGAGGAGGCAACAGCAGGCAGAAAGTAGGCTGTTTCGTTTTGATCCGGGCCTTCTTGGATGCCTGGATTGGGGAACCAGGGCTTCAGGTAGTCCACGATGCTCGGATCTGCAGGTGCTTCCTGAGAACTAGGGCTTTAGGAAGCATTGCCCTGTTTTGTGTGTACCTGAAGTCGGGAGTGGGCCTCAACGACTTCAACGTTGCCCTCATCGACAAGATTGGGGCAGCAGTCCTCGAAGTTCAGGCGCACTCGTCAGTGCTGATCGGGGGGGACTTTAACATCGATGTGTCATGTTTCAGGGAGCATGTTGACATCAGCTCATGGAGAGCCACTGTGAAAGCAGCAGTCGACCCGACGTATGTGAGTGGAGATCGTCAGTCTCACATCGATTATTTCATCATCGACACGAATCTGGCCTACGCTATCAAGGATAATATATACGTCGACCACTCTATTCCCATACCTCCTCACCGGCCAGTTCGTTTTGAGCTATCGCGTGCCATTGATGACATCACGGTTTTGGTGCCGAAGAAGTATGAAGACATACCTATCCAACCTATGGTAGGCCCTTCGGTGCAGCCTCCGTGTTATCAGGATCTGTCTCAGCGACTCGACCAGGTGATTACAGATGCCACTGACGTCATCTCGGGCAAGGTGTTCACAGTTTCTCCTGCCAGGGCCAGCCACGCGCAGGGCCAGGCAGTCTTGGATACTGTTTACCAGGAGTGGCTTCCTCTAGTACGTCAGGAACTTACCAGCAGGGTAGTGACTCCTGACAGGCAGGCCCCAGGAGCCAAGCCCATCGGCACCCCCATCTCGTATAAGGAGGTTCCGCTGGCCAAGCTGTTGGCCACTCGTCAGCAGCACAAGCGCATCCTCCCTGAGCGCGCCCTGTTATGGTCAGCCCGAATCCTTCAGGAGCTTCAAGTCATATACTGTCGCCTCTCCGATGGTAGCGTGATATCGGAGTATGTTGCACGGCTCCTCATGTCATTGCATAAACTGAAGCTGAAAGGGGGGCCCTTCCGCGCTTTCTGGCCTGAAGCACAGGATGTTATGCATCATGAGTTGAGCTCCATCGCGCAGCGTCTTTGGGGCCCGGTGTCAGACGCTAAGAAGCAATTCGTCCAGGACGTAATGGAAGGGTATATGCTTCTTCACCTGTCGTTCAAAGGCGTGGACGACAAGATGAGGAAGGAGCAGTGGCAGGAATGGGTGGAAGAGGCGACCGCAGGAGCAGGGTCTAGGATGTACCGCTACCTGAAGGGGAAGGAGCAGAGGGAGTACGAGGAGGAGGTTACAGAGTTTGGGCTTTCTTCCTCACACGCTGTCCTTCTCCCGGCCCAGCTAGATAAGTGGAGTGCGAAGTGGGGAGCTGGCCAAACCCCTTCAAAGATGCCCGAGTGGAACCGCGACCGACCCATTGTGGCCCTCCCAGAACCGTGGCACCCAGAACAAATTAAGAAGGCAGCCTCCACCTTCAAACAGAAGACGTGCCAGCCTGACGGCTTCCACCCTCGACACTTTAGCTTGGTTTCTGATCAGTGTCTGGTCTTCTTGTCAAAGCTGTTCCAAGTAATGGATATTTTGAGTTCAACCCCTACTTCCATCCAGAAGCTACAGCTGGTTTTGGCTTGGAAGCATAAGGGGGGAGGCAGGAGGAGTCTGGCGTTTTTCCCGGGGATTGTACGAGTGCATGCCAAGCTTGGAGCACGTCAGTCACGAGAGTGGGAGGCCTCTTACGGGCTCACCAAAGAGTATAGTAGTTCGCAAGGCCGCAGCCCAGAGGACACGGTGTGGCGCCAGTCCACCCGGAGTGAAATGATCAAGTCCTCAGGGGGACACTACCTATCGGTGCTCTGGGATCTGAAAAGCTTTTACGAATTTATCCGCCACGACGTGCTGCTGCGCAACGCTGGCCTCCTCCACTACCCTCTGCACTTGGTTCTGTATAGTATCCAATTGTACCGTTGGCCGAGGAGGTTAATCATGGACGGGGCGGTGTCGGAGGAGCGGTACCCAGAGAGAGGAGTAGCAGCAGGATCGGCATATGGTACATACGAGGCGAAGGTATTCACTCTTCCCCTGATGTCGGAGACCCGAGCCCGGTACACCTCAGCCAGCATTCATATTGATGATGTTACCTTGGGCTCCTGGTCGGAAGGCATGGAACATTGTGTATCTTGTCTCGTGGAGTTTGCAGCCCAAGTTCTAGCAGGACTACGCGAACTGCAGGTCTCTCTGGCGATCCCCAAATTAACGATGGTAGCCAGCTCTGCTCCCCTCCTGGAAATGGGTCAGAAAGCTCTGGGTAAATATTCCGGTTCTCCGGCCTGGGGCGTTGCTAATCTTGGGATCGACTACACGGGGGGTAAACACAAACGCCACAGGGCGTCTAACCTCACCCGCAAGAGAAGATGGCTCTCCCTCACACAGCGAGTGAACCGTTTGAAGCGCCTGCCAGGAGGAAAGGTACGTAAGCTCAAATCCAGGTTCTTCCTGGTAGGAGGGCTTTCGGTTGTCAGGTATGTGGAGGGGCTACGCATGGATTCACGCCGACGGAAGTAAAGAAACTCCGTCTCTTGGCGGCCTCTGTGTCGCTACATCGCCTTCGGCGTGCTCCCAATGTGCTGTGGTGGTGCGGAGTCCCAGATAAAGATCCCCTGGAGATGTTTGGAATGTGTCTTGAACGGTACTGCAGAGAATGGTGGGACGTTTCTATGCCCCGGCGAGACGACCTGAGGCGCCATGAGGATAGCTTGTCAATCCAAGAGCTCCGAAAAGCCTTTGAAGTCGCCAAGGCAGGACTCAGCTCGTCTAAGCTTCGGTCTTGGCAGGGTCGCTCCTGTGGCCCCGTTAGTCAGATGCTCTTGGGGTTGGCAGAGGTAGGATGGACAGCGACTAATGCAACGCAGTTTAAAGACAGGCTGGGCAACAATATAGATGTGTTAAAAGTTCCCCCCTGCAACGTTGCACGTCTGTTTATAACGCAGTATAAAGACAAGCAGATTCAGGAGTACGTTAGTAGACGTGTCCCAGTGGATAGCGCCATCAAGGACAAAGGGCTTTGGTGGCAGTTGTTCGAGCGATGCTTTAAAGCAGCCCGTAAGAAACTCTCGTTCATTGAGGCTCAGCTTGTTCTGAGTATGTTCTGCGGCTGTGTTACCACAGGAACCTCCCTTAAACGATGGGGATTCGTCCTCTCAGGCGTCTGTCCGCATTGTGGAGAATTAGACACGGCCTTTCACCGGGTATTTAAATGCCCTTTCTCTTTAGAATCTAGACGTGATTTTTTGGACGTTTACATAATAGATGCGGCGCTGGCCGCGGGCGAACATGACCCGTTTTAC